AAAGCAAGGCTATGTGAAATTCAATGGAAACGTCAGCTCAAACTCATATAATTGTGGGAAAATTCTACTACCAGTCCTTCATCACCTTACACAAAATAGGATGAATACATCTGATTAGAATACTTTTCTCTAAACTTAGTACTTGTTATGTTACATTTTTAGTTTTTTATTATAAATTTTCACTTTCAAATAAATTTTATTAACTTGCGAAAACTTGTAAATTTTTAAATATAGTAAGGGTTATTTTTCACTAGGATTTCCATTTCGAGTGAAAGTGTTGAGTGAAGCGATTCGAAGGTCGGTCCCGCCAGAAGACTACGGCGGATTCTTCTTGACCAGCTGTCGATTTGCTTTACTGGAAGATTCATGCTGACGCTGTTTCCGAGGCAATCTCCTACGAGTCCGGTGAAAAGGTGCTAAGCTTTTGTCTGTCATATGACGAAGATCATCGGAGCGAGGTATCATCGTCACAACGAAATTCATGCCAACGAGATTATCTATAGGCAACAGAATTTTTGAGTTGGCTTAATCAGCTTACTCAGCCGGATTCAGAGTCCAGATATGTGTTACTCCAAGACTCTAACCTCGTCGGGTTGTATAAAAGATCTATTCAAAATTCAATGCTGGGAATTCTAAATCGTTTGACGACCATGAGTCTGCTACCAAGTAAAATCTATGAAATATATACCGATTTCGAGTTCTAGTCAACCTAGGTTGCATAAAGTCAGTTGGGTTGATAGTTAAATTTTCCCATAATCCTATGATTGGGCCGATTCCCGTTAGGAGTGATCATAAGACCCAGGCGAGGTAAAAACTGCAGTACAGCCAAGATAAGAATTTCTTTCGGAAGGCTAGGCTAATTGGATTTCACTGAAACTGAAAACCCCAATCATTCGAAATATATGCGAGTAATTAAGCAGACTTAACCGGAAAAGGAAAAAGCCCTTTGCGGCGTAATCCATAAGGAAAATAAATATGTTAATTTGAGCTTTCTCGTCAACTTAACATGCCAAGCAGTGAAAAAATGTCTAAGTTTCTCTTTATTGGCAGTGAAAGTAAATTAGCTTATATTTTTTTATGAGTGGTAATTGTTTATTAGACTGAAAAAAGGCATTTGGCTCACAATCTTAATGGACTTGCTGTGGTTATATTTCTCTAGTTTTGGCAACCTTGCATGACAGAGTGTGAATTAAATGCGCAAAACTATACTTATTTTGAATATATTTCGAAACTACCAATATATATTGCATACAAATTGTAGTCACCATAAATTGAATAAAGAGATAAAGGACACCCACAAGCAGATGTATATGAAAATGTGCCCATTAAATCATGAGTCTTCTCTCGTTGTCACCTCGTAA